AAATCAGAGCTTGAACCCTGATTTTTTGTGAATCAGAATTCACACGTGAATGTAGAGATGGAATTTCTTTCTGTCTCTCTTTTCTGCCTTGTTGTTGTTGCTGTCTGACAAGAAAATCCGTCTGGGTCTCTCTGTCACTATCGCCATCTCTGTTCCTCTGTCCTTTCTGAGTACTTGATGAAGACACCCTGCCTGGAAATAATTGCATTCAGACCCCTGAGTCCCACTTAAAAGTCTTTGGGACTGATCGAGATAAATCCCATCAGGCTTTTGTTTCCACTCAAAGTGCCCCCATCATTTATTAGACGAATTAAAGTATCAATTTCTGTTTAAACATTAACAGGGTGATGCCAAATATTAGTCAGTTCCTAATAATTCTGAGGGATTAAAAAGATAATAAAAGTAATAGTCCATTACATTACCTACTTCAGCAAGATTGTAATGAACGTAATAAATTCTGGATCAGGGTTATAACAACTTCCATCTATTTAAAATGAATTTGTAGGGTTACTTTCATTAACTATGTATATGGGGAAAATGATCTGACATATTACTTTAAAAGAGCTGTAAAACCGATTAGGAGAAAATATGCTTTCCAGACAGGGATGCCGGCCACTGGGGACAACTGCATCCTTGGGAAGTCGGAACCAGCTGCCGAGATAGCCCGATTTCGTCCTTCCAGCTCCACCCGCCCACTACTCCGAAACAAAATCATGACAGCATCAGCGCTGGTGAACGAGGGTGAGGGAACCTTCTTTTTCCCCTTCTCCTTTTTTTTTTTTTTTTTTTTTTTTCCTTCCCAGGTATATTCCTACTAATGAACCAGGGCTCACTCTGGGAACTTCTGCAAGGAAATAAACCCTAAGCCTGCAGCCCAGCCTGGCCTTTGGACCCCCAGGGGAAAGCTGCCATATTAAAGGGGCCTATGCCCTCATTGCTAGAGGAGACAAGGGAGCGAGCACTTGACTGCACCACAGAAATTACTGCTGTACCTCGAATGCCCGCTTCATTTATCAATTTCATAGCAGAAAAACCCATATGACTGCCTTGTTCACTCGCACGCTAAATCTAGTCACAGAAAGCTCCCCACTGCCAGTCAAGTGTATTACGCACAAGCCTGGATAAAGTAACTTGAAATACCACTAATGATTTATACTTAATTGAACTTCTAAGTGATTAAAGTGGCAGTAATGAATGAATAACACCCTCCTCATTCCCTTGACCACTCCGCCCAGCCCCTCCAGACAGAGTGGGCCTTGCCTGGGGAAGTCAGCAGGGATGTCAGCGGGGATAGCCGACCGAAGCCATCCTCTGGGCTCCCCAACACTGCTCATCCTGGCTCAAGTGCTCTCACTTGCAGTAAATGACTCCATAAGCACTGAATCAGACCATTGATCCTTTTTATTAGATTACCCAATTGTAAGGTTAATGCGTTTGCATTTGGCAAACAGGGTCGGTGAGCTCAAATCCCAAGCAGGGATCATCAGCGTTTAAAAGGACACATGTGGGGAGCAACTCTGTCAACACATAGATTTGCTGGTGGCAGTAGCCAGATGCTGATACCCTTCCTTCCCCTGGCCCCCTCACCAAAGAAGGTGCCATAAGAATCCACTTCCAGCCTGTGTCTTCCTTAACAGAAGCTCCCGTGACATCCAGGGGGCCAAACCTGCTGCCCATGTCCTCCCCACCCCCGGTGCTTCTGTTTCTGGAAGAAGTAAGAATACTGCAAAAGTTTCAGCCACCTCAGACAGGGACAAAGGTGGATAGTTCACCTCTGGCCAGGAACCTTGCTGCCTTCTCTAAATGGAGGAGAGCCAGGACTTAAATCAGTGACAAGGACACAGGCTTCAGAAACCAAAAATTCTTCTTTTCTGATAGTCATAGAGTCAGACAGGGGCAGCCATTTATACCTAGGCCTCTACACCCAATGTGGATTTATTCTTGGATTTTCTAAATGCATTAACCAAATCCTATTTAAGTGGTCTGCCTTCCTTAGGATTTTCTAGTAAAGAAATTTGTAAGTTGGAAAAACACACTTTGTTGATCTCATATGAGTTCTACATTGGAGAATATAACCATGGTTTAGGGGAAATTAGGTTACCCAGAGAAATCACCCCAGAAAACCATGTCATTTTATAGAAAAGGAAAATGGGGGTGCAGAAAGAATGAAACTTACCCAAGGACCACCCCCACCACAGTGAGTTCATGGAAAAACTCCCATCTTCTGCCTTCCACATCAGCCTGATGGGCCATCCTCGGGTAAGAAAGCAGTACTCGCAGAAGAGGGGGTTTTGAGGCTGCAGCAGTAAAGAAACAGTCTTTTTATACAAATGTCCTATGACACAAGCCATATTTCATACTCAGCTGCATAAACTGGGTCTTTGTCTAAATTGTTCTATGGAGTAAGATTCACTCTAAGTATTGCTTACAGGATGGATTTGTTCAGCATCTTGCCTCTGAGGACGAGGAAGCTGGTTTCATCATTTCCATTCAGTTCACTTTTTCTGCTGTTCATTTTCTAAAGGTGGCTAGGATGCTGGGGAACAACCCATCACGTGAAGTCAGATACTGAGGATTCAAGCCACAGCCCTGTCACTTATGGGGCATGTTATTGTTCTAAGCCTCAGCCTCCTTCATTGCAATAATTCCTCCTTGCTAGATTGTTTTGAAATTAAATGGGATAATATATCTATGAAAACGACCAGTGCAGATGAATCTGTTATCCAGGTAGGGCTCCTTATCCATGACTTTTCTCCCTCCTGGTTTCATAGAAAAAGAGTGATCCCCTGGGCTTTACAGGCAGTAACTGACTGGTGACAGGGAGTCTAGAGACAGCCCACATCCGTAAAGGGAATTATTTCCCATCCCAGCTCCCTCTTGCTTTGCAAGAGAGGCCCAGGCCCTTGCCAGCCTCTCACTTGCCTCCTCTGCTGAAGGCTGGAGACCGTGCCTTCTCTGAATCACTGCTCAGACCTTGTCTGAGTCTCCTAGGGCTTAAGAGGCCATGAAGATAGGGGTAGGGCAATTGCTATAACAACAATTCAATCACACTCCAAATGCCATAATAGTCATTCTTATTTACTTATATTTTTTGAGCACTCTGCCATTTAAGTACTTTTTACATGTGTTTAACCTCACTTAAGCCTCTCAGCAATCCTATGAAATTCAAATGGCCATGCCCACTTTACAGAAGCAGAAATCGAGGCTTACATAGGTAAAGTGACATTCCAAAGTGACACGGCTGGGAGGGGGCAGAGCTAGGTTTTAAGCCCAACCCAGTCAGGCTCCAGGATCTGTACTCCATCACTGTGCCCTGCTCCTAGGACTCACGTTACCTTTGTGGCAGGACCCAAGCCAGACGTCAACAGGGACCTGACCTCTCCTTCCTATTTTAGCCAGCTGACCCATTGAGCCCCAGGGGCAGGTATCTGTTCTCAGAGAAAGCAGAGCATCAGAGGAGAAGGGGAAAAAACATCTAAGTGAGCAACAGCTGACCTCTGTGAGTTATTGAGAAAAATGCCGAGGTGGCAAGACTGGTGGTGACAGGGCCCTGGGGGCCTAAAGGAAGGGCGCTTATCTGATTGGGAGTGCATACGGGCAGATTCTACCTGGAGATAGTTGTAGCTGGGCTGTCTGGGAAGAGCGCAAAGAGAGGCCCCAGCTGGAATAGGCTAGTAATCCAGAAAGGAGTTCCCAGCATTAGAGCTTGCCTCCCAACAAGCTTCAGGCCTGAGTAGGCCAAATCCCGTATCCCCATAGGCCAGGCCATCAGCCGTGGCCTCTGTTCTAAAGAGGACACACAGAATACTGGGGGTAGGGAGGTAGATGCCTTGGGAGAAGAAGCCTGTATATGCATAGACACCAACAGACTCTGTCTCTAAGTGGGTCTGTGCTTGTCTGCAGGGGTGTGTGCGTGTGTGTGTGCATGTGCATGTGTGGGCCCACACAGCATCTGAGAGTGATGTGTGGGACAGTGTCTCTGTATGGTTGTATCTCTCTGCAAGGATGAGGGTGAGTGGGCATGTGTATGAGTGACCATGGCTGGCCCCAGGACCAGCATCTATGGATGTGTGGAGGTCTTCCTGCCCATGACTCAGCTGAGGTGAAGGATGATGAGGAAACAGTTGGTGCCATCAGTGGGAATGTCATGATTCATAGAAGCAGGTTCTGGGGGGCCGAGAAGGAAGGGTTTTCAAGAGTCAGGAAGGGCTGCCTGGAAGAAGGGGCATTCGCTACGTGGAATCTTCCTCCTGAGTCTCTAATGGGCTGGACCTGAACCAGAATGTGTGGAAACCCCTGTTACCTCCCAGTCATATTTGGTTTATTGTCCCAAAGCAGTTTGAGATAGGTCAAGCAGCACAATGAGCTGAAGAGTTAACCAGCCTCTCCCCCTGAAATATAAGCACAAGCTCCCCATCAAGTGCTGTGTTTATGGAAGGAGATGGGAGTAACCAGTACAGTCCCTGGCTTCCTCTGACTCCTGGACTTGGGGCCCCGGAGTACTGCCTGGTGGGTGTTTCCCTGCTGGACTGACCTGATTTTTTATGCACAATGCAGAACAGACCCCTGCCCGGAGCTGGGCTCTGACCCTGTGCCCAGGGCTGCTGTGGGCAACAGAGCTTGTCTCTACCTCTGGTCTGGAGGCTGCAGTGCTTGAAACCCACTTCTAGCACCACCTTTACTGCTGTATGATTTGGGACAAGCCCTTTCAGCAACGTGAGCTTCGGTTTCCTCCTCTGTCAGATACAGATGATTATTTTCCCCCTACCTCAGTCACTGATCCTTGGTAGCTGTGCCTCAAGCAACTCGCTAAGCCCTCTGAGGTTCAGTTTGCGCATCTGTAAAAAAGGGAGAAGAACAACAAATGAGATCATGTGGAGGAAAGCACTTTAAAATGTAAAAAGTACCTAGCATTTGAAAGAAATCACCCGTGAGATGGAAAAGCTTGGCCAGATTCTCAGTTCTTGGCTCCATCTGCAACCCTGGCTGGGCATTTCTCAGAGGATGCAGGCCTCTGGGTGTTGATTCAGTGGCCAAGGAGACTCAGACAGAGAGCTCCAGGGCCCCAAGGACAGGAAGACCCAGGGACGGAGTCTGCTGGTCAGAAGGCACTGGCCCGTGGCTCCCTGGAGCTGTACAGCAATGATTCAGGAAAAGGCTGACAAGGATATTAGCAGCACGGGTTTTTTTTTTTTTAATCCTGAGTCCAGAGAAAATGCACGGTCAGGAATAAAGGCGCCCAAGAGAGCAAGGAGAAGGAAAAATAATCAGAATTAGCCAGCAGGCGGGCAGCGGGAAAAGGGGAAATGCAGCCCCACCAGGGTCGGAGCCTCCGCAGGACCAGCTAAGGAGGTGGCCAGGGAGTGGGCAGGCCTGGGCAGGCACATGAAGGAACTGGGGCCGGCTGGAGCCCAGCAAGCAGGCAGAAGGGAAGACAATAAAAGAAGCCATCATCAGGTGAGTCCAGCACCCCCTGGGGCTGCTGTGGGGCCCCCTGGCCCCAAGGCAGTGGAAAGGGTGCTGACAGAGGGTCTCAGTGTTCTGCGCCCCCATTGTTCAAGGGGCTCCGGATGTGGACACCAGGCTTGCAGGGCAGCCAAGACACTGCCCAGATACTGCAGAAAGGCTGCAGAAGCCTCTGTGTCGAGAGGCCTTCACATCCCACTCTCTCAAAGCTGAAACCAGACAAGGATGACAGAGACCATGGCCCTAAAATTTCATGGGGGCTCTCTCCCTGGCAGTTGGACAGGGCGTATCAAGGCATTCAGGGCGGTGATCCCAGGGCCTGCTTTAAGAGCAGAAAGAAATGGATTTTGATGAGCTGGGGCAGAGAAATCCATTTCCATGGGCACTGGAACTGATGTTGTTCCTAATTGAAACGTGCTTTTCACAAATCATTTAGACTATTAGATGACTTAAGAAAAAGCCCTGGTTCTGAGAGAGAGAGAGAGAGAGAGAGAGAGAGAGAGAGAGAGAGTGTGTGTGTGTGTGTGTGTGTGTGTGTGTTTTGGGAAAGGGCAGAATTAATACATCCACCCTTGATTCCACTGCAGATTCCAAATTAATGAAGTATAAATTAATGACAAACGTGTGTGGCATCCTGGAAGCCCAATGCTTCTGCAACACCCCCTGACGCTGGGTCCTCAGGCAAAGTGCTTTCCTGAGCAGCTTTACTACTAATCTGATATGGAGGAACGGGAATGCATGTCCCCAAGTCTCCCTTGCCATGGCCGGGACCGCAACACCCATTCAGCCAGCTTTTTTTTTTAACCAGGAAAGGCCTGAAATTGAAGATTTGACAGTGTCTATATTAATAGCACAATTATACAGAATTAAATTGTGTGTATGTTAAAAGCATTCATTGGTTAAATGTAATATTTATTACACCACAATTTTGGTAAAGATACCATTTCGGCCTATTTCTCTGCAATATTTAATATTCCAGGAGCCTCAATAAATAAAGGAATCAGGACCTCTCTAACCTCTGAACTTTGTTCCCAGTTCCTATCATGTAGGTTCCTTTCACTGTCAATTTGAGGTAAACTGGGATCTTAGGATTCAGGAGAAGCCTAGAAGGAGTAGAGGGTTACTTCCCTTGAGTACTGCTGATTGCCCAAACCTCTCTGTTAAAAGCTCTAAATTACACTGACTGACACGGGGAGCCCGGCAGACATTCCTGAGAACCACCGCAAGCTCTCAGCGTTACTCTCTCCCATCAGAGCTGCGCTGACTCCGGGTCAGTAACTAAGCAAACACCCTTTTGCATTTGCACTCCTCTCTTGGGTGCCAGGTCAAGGCAGGAATCACCTGGACCTCTCACCTCCCCAGCCCACTGTCTATGGGTCACCTATGTGAACATCAAACCCAAATCGCAAGCCCCCAAATTTAATTTATTTCTACCTAAACAAGTTCTTTTATCATAAAGCAATAAATTTGTCTTGGTGCTAGCAATTTGTTGCGGGTGACATAACATTGCAAATTGATTAATCGCTACTGTACGCAGCAAAATGAGAAAAGCAAGGAATTATTATGAATAGCGTCCGTCTTTTACGGGAGGGATTCATTATTCAAAAGTGCTCGCTGGTGCTTACATGTGCCCTCGGTACAGATTACATCCATTTGCAGACTTCCCACATCATGCTTACACAAATCAACAAACGTGCATTTATTAAGACGTAGAATGAAATCTATTTAAAAGTGAAAAATGGCCTTTTGCATTACTTTTCTTCAAGGAAGGCAAATCTGGGTGGGATGTTCCTGGGACACATCTGCATGGTTGTCACATCAGTGTCTCTGGGTTCTATGCACTCTGGCTCATGCAGGTGCCACCAAATCTGCCTGCTCTACCTTTGACAGTCCCAGGATCAGAAATACCCCACCAGTGGTTTTGGAACCTTTGCTGTAGCTCAGGAGACTTAAACAATTGGCTGTCACTGCCTGCTAGGGAAATGCAGCAGAGTTCTCAGTTCTCCAGAAATGAGCCTCCTTAACATCCCCTGAGAGGGGAAAGGAAATGAATATTAATTATCTATTATGTACTAGACACTATCCTGAATGCTTTCTTTTCATTTATAAAGCAAGTCCGTCTACCTCCCTAAACCTCGTAGGATAGTAACGACCAACTGAAATAATGTGTGCACATAAAGCACATAGTAAATGCTCAATGTGTATTAGCTATGATTACTATTATAATTTCATTTAAGCATTCCTAAGGTCAATGTTAGTACCATCATTTTACAGATGGAAAAACTGAAGCTTAGAAAGATTTCAAGATTTGCCAAATCACAGTCAGTGAGCAGGACTTAGCTTCAATTTAGGATCTGCATCCAACAATTCATTTTTTTTCTAAACCACCCCCACAGCTCTCCTTGACAGTCAAAATAAGGTATATTTGCTTCCTCTGATTCAACAGAGGAGGCCACACACCACCCACATTTCGGCTACCCACACTTTGCCTTCAGGTACGTCAGAGGAGACATTTGAGAGGGTCTGGAGATGTCATGGCCTTCCCCATCTCTGCCACCAGCTGTGCCCGCATAAGAAGAGCCCTCATCTGTCTCTAACTCTTGTCCTTGCTTCTCTGTCTACTTGTCCCATTACCAAAGACCCTTCCAGAAGGAAGCTTGTTGCCTGCCCCAGTGAAACGCTGATGGGCAGCTCAGAGCTCCAGCATTGATTATTCCTACTGAATTATGCTCTGTTTAAAAATAGACTAAGATCTCAACTTTCATATTCTAATTAGATTTCAAGCAACTTTTATAAAATGAGAATGCCTTCACTGTTTTTCTGCTGCCTAAAGGGCCATTAACTGCTCCCCAGCCAAGCCAAAGTCCTTTCTAATCCCTGATATCACCCATAAGATGAGAATAGTTACTCATCAGCTTCCGAGAAAACCATGCTGAACCACAAACCTGTCTCCAGGTGTCCAGAATCCGGGGTGGTCGGGTTAGAAGCCTCGGCATGTAGCTCAAGCTGAGAGTTGGTCCCTGTGAGAGTATGTCACAAGACTACATTTCTCCAAGGGTCTTCCTCAAACCACCTGCCCCGAGATCAACACGGGGCTTATATGACTCTGAGCCTCCCCGAGACCTGCCACAGACTCATCTCGTTGTGTGGCCTGGCAGTCTGAATATTTGATAAACTACCCATATGATTTTTTTACACACTAAAATTTGTGAACTATCATCCCAAGAATTTCTCAAACCTCCTGCCCAGTTTTTTATGCCACCAGATTGAATCATTGGTTATTGAGAATCCTGGTTGACTTACAAACATCCCTCACTTAATGAAGAGGAGATAGGACCTAAGAAGAAATTTGCTATTTTGAGGCCCAGTTGACCCTCTTCCTGTCAGGTGTCCCCACCCTAGTCCCACAGGATATCCCTGGACTCCCAGCAGGACCAGGGTACCCAGGCTAAGTTAGGCTGTGACTCAATTGTTGCATAATCTGCAGACAAGAAAAGACCAGATGCCCAGACATGATGGAAGTGACAAGGGCATCGCTATGCAGTCCTGGGCTCTGTTTATAACAGTCAGAGCCACAGAGCTGTCAAGCACCTCTGTCTCTGCTGTTATCACAACCTGTCATCTTACGTGCCCTTGAGTGTAGTAGTTCTCAAACCTTAGCATCAAAATCACATGAAGGCGTTGCTAAGACACATATTACTGGGCCTTGCCTTCCAGAGCTTCTGACTCAATAGGTCTGTTGTGCGGCCTGAGAATTTGCATTTCTAAAAGTTCCCACATGATGCTGCTGGTCCAGGGACCAGACTTTGAGACTCTAGACTCTACGCTCTATGTCATATTTCCAGTGTCAAGTACATACTAAGAACTCAATTTATGTTGGCAGAATAAATGAATGAATGAGTAAATTATATGAACTACCTTCTTGAACTCTAACTGGGACTCCTCACTCCACTCCACTTCACTTGTGGTTATCCAGCATCTTCTAGATAAGAGCATCCAGGAGGTGTATGTGTCCTGGGACCAGGACAGGGTTTGTGGTTTCTCATACTCACAAACAAAAGTATGGCTTGCTCAGGAGGTCAGGAAGCTAGGCAGGGAGTGAGGTATCCTCTTATGGCCTTGATAAGGGTAATGATGACTCTTACCACCTCAACCACCGGCCAATAACTTCCTGGCTGGGTGACCTGAAACTGGGCTTTCAGACTTAAAGAGTCTCCGTTTCCTTACTCATGAGGTTGGGCATGGATAATTACCTTCAGGATAACCGCAGATTCCATGAGGCTGTATATAAAACAGTTCAACCGTGTCTGTCTGGCACATCTGGGGGGCTTGGTCGATGTCTGTTCCCTGTTCCCTCATTCATTCCCCACAACCCCTGACTCCTGTGAAATGAGTCCCAGAGATGTTTCGGGAGCAATGAATTCCCTCATTTCAGCTAAGCCACCCGTGATCCTGGTTTTGTAGAGATGTACGATGCAACATGATAAATTATTGTTTTAAGCAGAGGCTTCATTCAAATATCCATTTCCCTGTCAAGTTAATTTTGTTTGGATGTATTTTCTAGCGGGTTCTGACTGAGAGCACGGATACTTCATAAACAGAAGAACATTATGTCTTTGGCGCATTCTCTGAGTGACGGGGAGCTGATGGCATTGGGGAGGGAAGTTTTGGGGATTATCATGGCCGAGAATCACCTTTCCCCAATCATGTTAAGTTGGTGGCATAGCTCTGAGGGGTCAACTGCAGTCAGTTCACCTCTGCCTGCAGAACATAGCAAGATCTCATCTCTCCTCAAAATGGCTGAGTTCCTCCAGGAGGGGCATATTTCCTGGGAACACCCAAGAAGGTAGACTTGTTTTTATCAGTCTCTAGTTAAGCCAGGAGCCAAGGCCTCACAGGGATTATCTCATTTCCCCCTCTGCCCCAGAAAACCTAAGGGCGAATTTCCTAAGAACAAGGACATTTTCTTACATACCACAGTGCAATGATAG